AACTCTTCATCCTGCCCTCCTTACGCGATCTGAGCGATCGACAAGGCCCTCAGCAGAGCGGCTCTGTAGGCAGCATATTCATCGTGAGTACACTGGACTCTACAACTCATGGTGCTGTCTAACATGCTGAAGGCCCTGGAGAATCGTGGCGAGATTCCAATCCGTCTGATCCAGCCCCCCCTGTCGACAGCTCCTGTAGGCGCGGTATAGAGCTTGCGTCTCTGAGTCTGTTAGCCGCAATCCAGCCTGCTTCTGGAGGCGGGCACCGAAGATGAATATGGCGATGGTATCCCTGTTGCTGAGCCTAGTGGTGCCTGCAAGGAACCCTTGCACTCTTCCCAACCGTAGCCTTCGCATACCTCGAGCAGCCGCTCGAGGGTCGGCATACACGGCGCCCTCTGGGTCGAATTGTTGAAGTTATTAAGTTGTTGGTCTGCCATTATGTTATTTGATGGATGCAGAGTACTGGCTACTTACCTCACTGCTGCTCTCCTTATATAAGGCAAGGTTCCTGTAACCTTGGTGGCCGAGGCTGCCATGGCAGAGGAAAAGTTATTCGTACCTTGTTTACCTCGTCTTCGTCTCTCTCGAGACCTCTGTGTCTTCTAGTACTGAGTATAGTACTTCTGTGTTCACACCTTAGGTTATATCTATTAGGGTTGCTTGGTCCTTTTCCATATCTGCACCTTGCTGTATATTGTACCTCGGCACTGGCTATCGCTTGGCGGGAATTTTCTCGACCTCTGCGATGCGATCTGAGCTTCTAGGCCGTGGCTTTTTTGAAGTGCTCGGGGCCCGTGTCGGCGGCCATGCAGACGGCCACGCAGCATTGCAGATTTGACCTGATGCGCGGCCTTCGGTAGTGGCCGCTCCCGCCGGCCGACGATGAACTCTAGAAACAGGCCCGCGTCTCATCGCCAATCAGCCGATCCGACCGAATGGGATGTGCAGTGGTTCATCTCTGCCGCTGAAGATCAACTCTGCCGAAGAAGGGACGAGATTGAGAACAGCGAGAGTTCGTCGCACGCGAGACGAGGCTGCGAAGCTCACACTTGACAGCCACAAGCTGAAGACGGATAGCGGCACCTGCAGGACGATTATCATTTCTCGGAGGATAGTCCGCAGCAGCGCCTCATACATGTGGGCTGGAAATAAAATATCCGAACAGTATCGACCCCGGCTTGGATGAAATGAGCCAAGGGCAATTATTGGCATCGCCAATTCTAGACTCGATCATCACGACCGTCGATTGCACCTGACCTGCGCCGGTTCGCTGCTGGAGCTCCTCGGACCTCACCTGCAGTTGCGAGGAGTCGAATATAGTAGTGCGCAGCGTGCAGCTCGCGCAACATGACGACACCTTTTTCGATCATGGTATGTCCGTACCCAATGGTGACCGTTACATGCCATGAGACGCACGCTGTCGAACAGAGAAAAGAAACGAAAACGTTCGATCGTCGCAGCGGAGAGACCAACCGAAAAAATGAACGACTTGTCTAGAACTTTTCGTTGGGGGCCAGGGAGAAGAAAAACGTGCGACAGCGAGCGGATGGTATGCTGCATCGCGATGGCAGCGGCTGGCGATGGCTCCTTTTAATAGATGCCCCTGGGCTTGCCTGTCAGCCCTTTCTCATGCAAGACATGCGATCTTCTCAGGGTCTGCCGCCTCGTGTGCCTGAATGCAATGGTGATGTCGCTTCCAATTCGCAATCCCGTCGACGGCACAGAGGCGTGTGCTTAATCGGCGATAGACGAAAGCGAGAGGATGGCTGGGGTGGGATCCAGGTGGGCATTCACCGGCGGAGGGTAGCGAGAGGACTGTGTGAAGGTCCGAGACCGAAGTCGAAGAAATGCGGTGAAACCGATGTTGGACAGGCCGGAGTGGCCAGGTGGCCCGAATCCCAGGTCCATAATTTTCAACGAAGCAAGGCACGAATGCCGCCGATGGGAGTCCGGTTTCACGGCGGATTATTCGGGTTGGGCCAGCAGGCGATCTAGCTGGATGAAGGCAGACAGTGACGATCTGCAAAGGTCCTTTAGCGACTGCCGACCGGCCCGGCATCATGGGAAGAGCGGACTCGAGTATTCGTCCGGGGCGCCGACTCCACCAGGCGGACAATCGTGGAAATCGCTCGGCCGAGAGTTAGAGGAGTACATGCCGACGCAGGTCCGCTGTGGTTCATGCAGCACGCGTATTCGTGTTCGGGCATGTACCCTCTACCAGTCCGATGTCCCTGTCTCTGCCATTTCGACGACAGCCTTGAACTAGACGGACGGTGGTGATGCCGCAGCCAAGAAGCGGGATTACCGTTCAGAAACAGGCGCAGAGGGTAGGGTGGTGGCATGGCCCGCGCCGACGGTGCTGCGCCTGACACGGTGTCTGGAACCGGGGCGGCCCTCCATGCTTGAGTGGTGCGCCGATCGCCGCGAGGAATCAGGGACGTAGGTAAGGTGAGTAGAGTTCGCGGTTCGTACGCCAGAGGCGGCAGTACGTAATCGAAAGTGTGGCTGTCATTGGTTGAGGCCGCTGACGCTGGAACTTGATGCCGGCGTTGTGGATGGGGAGGCGGACGCAGACGGGACGAAACCATGTGGTGGCCCGGAATGGAATACCGGTGGTCCCTGCGACGGAATCCGAGGACGCGGAAAGTGATGGAAATAAGACGTTCGAGTAAGGCGAGGGAGGGGGGAGGTGAGGCTGGGTAAGGTAGCGGGCCAGGCACGACACGGCAACCCCCACGACGGAGAGTGTTCCTTGGCTTTGCCCGTGGCTAATCACTCTGAGGCACAGCATTCGCAACTGCCGTGGGCGTGGCCGTGCTCGTGGTCCGCGGGATGGCCTCATGTAATTAGCAGCAGAAGCAGCAGCAGCAGAAGCAGAAGCAGAAGCAGGCTGACAGCAGCGACAAGACGAGGCAAGACAGACACACAAGACACAAACGACGGCAAGCATGGCAGGTGCTCGTTATCGGTCTCGCGGGGTCCCCTTGGCTCGCTTTCCTCAACCCAATCGACGTCGGCTGGCAGACGGGATCCATCATGATCTCCATCCAGACATGCATCGTCTGCCAGTCGGCTGCGCTGTCATTGATGATTCAACGAGCTGCCCGAGTCAGATGTGCGGTTGCATTGCTTGAGTGCCTGCTTCACCAGTCAGACCCGACCAAGGCTGTCAGAAACAAACCATCTGTAGTACCTCAGCAGGTAGCAAATCCCCGTTGGCTGGCAAACTGCCCGAGAAAAGAGTTGTTACTCGACTGCGTAAGGTAAAAAGAGTCGCGCTTCTGGGCTTTCCATGCGCTTCTGTTGCTCTCGCCAAGTGCAAGTGTCATTGCCATTGACCGTTGCCGCACCACGCAGACAATGGAAAGCGTAAACTTTTTTGGCGGCAGCGGCCTGGCGTGGCTCCATTCCGGCTTAGACCCCTCGAGACCCACTCGAAGCTGCCCAAAAGTCCGTCTGTCCCACCTGAGTGGTCCAATCAGCACCTGACTAAGCCATCGGACTGGGGACGGACCGGCGGAGGCGTGGACAGAGCGAGGGCGGGGGTGGGCAGAATGGATGACTGTCAGGGTACGTACCGCACCTTTTCGCAGGTGGCAGTGATGGTGAGGGAAGTGGAGGAAAGTAGAAGCTGGAGACAGTCCGCTGCGGGAAATTAGCGTACCGCGCGTGGGAAGCAAGCCACCATGACCATGGAAGTGATCACTGAACGCCTGGAGTCTGTAGTCTGTAGTCTGGAGTCTGTAGTCTGGGCTGAATCCCGCGCGCCCTCGCCAGAATAGACGCAACGTTCGGAACGCTGGCGGTGTATTTCCATTCCGAATCAGCCCAGTTCCAGCTTCCAATCTGCCAGACACCCCGTACGCTGCAACTACTTGGCACAATACGGCGTACTCGGTTCCATTCCCAGGTCCCAAGATCCCAAGTCCCGGCCAGACCCTTATCTCACTTTCCAACTGCTCCCGATCTGCAGTCCGTCCCGTCCTCCCAGTCAGTCCCGTCGCATCAATCCAATACGCCCATCCATCCATCCTCGCTGTCTTCTTCGGCCGGCGCACAAACAAGCTCTTTAAACTTTTTCTATTCCTCTTCAGCCTTTCTTCCAAATCTTTTTCTTTCCCATTCTTCTCTTCAACCAAACCACCCATCCATCGGTTGTTGCGTTTCTTTTCTGGCCAAGACACACCTCTGTGTTCTTCATCTGCTACATCATCGACCACCCACCTACACGAAAAAAGGTACAACACCCACCTACCTATCTAGGTAACGGGAACAAGTACACACGTCCCCTTCCTGACCGTACGACACTTAGTTCGCGTAGAGCACTAAAAGCGTAAGTACCTCCTCCTGCTCCTCCTGGTCCCCCCAGCCCAAGCCAAAAGAGAAAGTACCCGCCCGTCCACCGTAAGTTCAGCACTGCTGTTTGCTGTTGCGCTGGCGCTGGACCCGTCATCCACCGCACCTCGACCTGGAACCCACCCGACTGCCTCAGGCGGCGCCGTCCAGTGTCCGAAACTCGGCATCTCTTTTTGGGGGTTGGGGGCAGGCTTCAGTGTGCTGGAGACCACCACACGGGCAATTGTCGAATCACCCCCGCTGATCCCATGTGAACACGATTGCAGTATTCCCTTCCCCGAACGAGGTTTGGGCTTGTTTTCCCCAACTCCCTCCAACAACCGCCACTGCCCGCGGCTACCTAAATTCGACCCGACTCCAAACCGCCCAGAGAGGTCATTTTTCGTCCACGGCTGCCAGCTCGGCAATTGTTGCGCTCTGGTGATCCTCTGCCTGGCGCACGTCCGCTGAGGTTTTTGTCGTTGCTGCCTCGCTTCTCTCACCTCTCTGTCCACTACACCTCTCCCAACAACCCCGCCGAACCACTCTCGGTCTACGACGATCCTCCCCACGAGAGGAAAAAAACCCAAAAAAAAACCACGTTTCCCTCGGACTTGTCGTCGGTCTTCACGACCTGCCTCACCTGAGTCCGACGGCCCAACATGGCGGAACTCGATACGCTGGACATCGTTGTCCTGGCCGTTATCCTCCTCGGGACGGCGGCCTACTTCACAAAGGGCAAGTATTGGGGTGTCGTCAAGGACCCCTACGCCAACGCCTTCGCCAACGCCAATGGAGCAAAGGCCGGCAAGACGAGAAACATCTTGGAGAAGATGGATGAGTCTGGAAAGAACTGCATCGTCTTCTATGGTTCGCAGACTGGTACCGCCGAGGACTACGCCTCGAGACTCGCAAAGGAGGGCAAGAGCCGCTTCGGCCTCGAGACCATGGTCGCCGACCTCGAGGACTACGACTACGACAACCTCGACTCCATCCCCTCTGACAAGGTCGTCATGTTCGTGCTCGCCACCTACGGCGAGGGCGAGCCTACCGACAACGCTGTTGACTTCTACGAGTTCATCACCGGCGAGGACGTCTCCTTCTCCGAGGGCAACGATCCCGCTCTGAGCAACCTCAACTTCGTCGCTTTCGGTCTCGGCAACAACACCTACGAACACTACAACTCCATGGTCCGCAACGTCACCAAGGCTCTCGAGAAGCTTGGTGCCAACAGAATCGGCGAGGCTGGCGAGGGTGACGACGGCGCTGGCACCATGGAAGAGGACTTCCTCGCCTGGAAGGACCCCATGTGGGCTGCCCTGGCCGAGAAGATGGGTCTGGAGGAGCGCGAGGCTGTCTACGAGCCCACCTTCAGCATTCTTGAGCGCGAGGGCCTCGACCCCTCTTCGCCCGAGGTCTACGTCGGAGAGCCCAACAAGATGCACCTCGAGGGTACCGCCAAGGGTCCCTTCAACGCCCATAACCCCTACATTGCCCCCATCGCCGAGTCCAAGGAGCTGTTCAGCGTCAAGGACCGCAACTGCCTGCACCTGGAAGTCGACATCAGCGGATCCAACCTGTCCTACCAGACTGGTGACCACATTGCTATCTGGCCCACGAACCCCGGTGAGGAGGTTGACAGCTTCCTCGAGCTCGTCGGACTTACGGAGAAGAGACACTCGGTCATCAGCGTCAAGGCTCTCGAGCCCACCGCCAAGGTTCCTTTCCCCACGCCCACCACCTACGATGCCATCATCCGCTACCACCTCGAGATCTGCGCCCCTGTTTCCCGTCAGTTCGTGTCTACGCTCGCTGCGTTTGCTCCCTCCGAGGAGATCAAGGCCGAGATGATCAAGCTTGGAGGCGACAAGGACTACTTCCACGAAAAGACCGGCACCCACTTCTACAACATCACACGATTCCTCGACTCCGTCAGCGGCGGCCAGAAGTGGACCAACATCCCCTTCTCCGCCTGGATTGAAGGCCTCACCAAGCTCCAGCCCCGCTACTACTCCATCTCCTCGTCCTCTTTGGTCCAGCCTAAGAAGATCTCTATCACCGCCGTCGTCGAAAACCAGATGGTCCCTGGCCGCGAGACCCCCTTCCGCGGTGTCGCCACCAACTACCTCCTGGCCCTCAAGCAGAAGCAGAACAACGACCCCGAGCCCACCGCCTTCGGCCTCACCTACGAGATCACCGGTCCCCGCAACAAGTACGACGGCATCCACGTCCCCGTCCACGTTCGCCACTCCAACTTCAAGCTGCCCTCGGATCCCTCCAAGCCCATCGTCTGCATCGGTCCCGGAACCGGTGTTGCCCCCTTCCGCGGCTTCATCCAGGAGCGCGCCAAGCTCGCTCAGGACGGTGCCGATGTTGGCAAGACCATTCTCTTCTTTGGATGCAGGAAACAGTCCGAGGACTTTATGTACAAGGACGAGTGGGAGGTAAGACACCCCGCACACAAGACAGTCCCCATTCGTAATGCAAGGGACAACCAAGCTGACACACTTTCGCACAGCAATACAAGCAAGCTCTCGGCGATAAGTTCGAGCTCGTTACCGCCTTCTCCCGCGAGGGTCCCAAGAAGGTCTACGTCCAGCACCGCCTCAAGGAGCGCGCCGAGGAAATCAACCAGCTGCTCGAGAAGAAGGCCTACTTCTACGTGTGCGGTGACGCCGCCAACATGGCCCGCGAGGTTAACACCGTCCTTGGCCAGATCCTCTCGGAGCAGCGCGGCATTTCCGAGGCTAAGGCGGAGGAGATTGTCAAGAACATGAGGGCAGCCAACCAGTACCAGGTACGTTCATGCCCCACACACCCTTCGGTGACGAAAGCTCTTCTAATGTTTTGCAACAGGAGGATGTCTGGTCATAGACTCGGTCGCACACAGTACGCGGAGAGGTGTTGCGTTAGAAGAAAAGAAGATGTTTGCTTGCGTATGACTGGACGGCATAGGTCCTCTATTAGGATATATGGTGGTTGGTTCTGGTATGGGATGTGTGCGCACGTCTTCTAAGCATAGGGCGGCGTATGTTATTGCATGTTGGAACAGGGAAATGACGGGAGTAATTTTTTTTCTCGGGATAAAGGGCTCTTTGCTCCCAGTCCTTTTTGTGTGTTGTCTGTCCCTCGTATCCTTCGGGATCGAAAGCGAGAAGAGAGCGGGTGCGGCTAATTGGTTCAATTTGGCATATAACCTTTTTTATTTCCTGAACTCTTTCCCGTTGCTCCCCCCGCTGCTGTTGCTCATCTTCACATGCAGGTTCATCTTTTTCTTTTCTCGTGGGCCGTGGAGTATGTACTGAGAGATGACTTCGTTCAGAGTATAGACATTCATGAGTACACACATTTCCACTGGGATGAGGCAACTTTGCATGTGACGAGTGAACTTCTTCTCCCCAAGAACATGAAAAGAGAGAACATTTTCCTATTTTGGCATCCGCGAGCAGATAAGCTGGTTTGGTGATGGGTGGATCAGTGGGTGCTTGCAGCAGCCTCTCTTTTTTCAAGGCGTTGAGACCTTGATTCGCTCGCTCATGGACCAGGTCACGTTGAAGAGACCAAAAAAATAGCTCCCAACCATGATAATGTGCTTCTCTTCCTGTTACATTAGAATACATCTCACTACGCCATTGGGATGGGTATGCGTTAAGACTGACAAACAAGCTTGTTCGAGTCGTCTCCCCCGCCTTGGGTTGCTTCTGGTTCGCATGTTGGCAAACATTCCCTCATCTCTTGGTTTCTTGATGTTTGGTCAGATATCAGTCCAGATGTGACGGTCCACAATGCAACACACGGGTGACGCGATGGGATTCCTGTCGTTAACCGGTGTGAGGAGCGAGTTGAGCAACCGGAGAGCGAGTGACTGGGACGAAAAAGGCCAGACCCGGGCGCGGGACGGGACGGGGATCCGATCGCCCCCGCAACCTTAGCATGGCCTCGATGCCAAGAGATGGGTGTCGGGGGAATTGTCCATTGCCGGGTCTTAATCCCGGTCTTCCTGGGAAGCAAACTACCTCGAGTCTGGCTCCTCCCCTCCCTCCCCGATGTGAACATCGCACATAAGCGAGGCGGCCCCCTTCATGAAGCCTGCCCAACCGGGCCAGAAGGGATCAAGAAAGCTCCCCCCAGCATAGCAGGCTGCCGACAATGTGAGATCGCACCTCGATCCGATCAGATGCGTCGCCAGAGCCCCTGGGGCAACAACAAACAAGACACTGGGGGGACAAGAAAGAAAGTGAAAGGGCATTACCCCGACCTGAGCCTGGTTGTGATCGGAGACGGGCTTCCCTGCCGTCCCGTACGAGATGCCGCCCACTATCTCGCAGCAATTTTGTGCGACACTGTTCTGGTGTCTCTGGCAATGGTAAAGGCCCGGGACTGCCGGCCTATCTTGGCTGTGGAGCTTCGAGGAAATGCCCAAGACATGGCGACTCGGGCGTCGCTGCAAGACGGCCGAAGCAACATATTGTTCCATCACCCCCCTCATGCCGCCAACCAGTCCAACCAAACTGGGCATCATCATTGTCCAATGAGCCCACACATCTAGGCCCCTTCAGATAGAGACAGCGGTGCTGTCATCTTCTCTGGCAGCTGTTGTGATATGTCTGGACGACTTTTTGGCATAGAGGCAAGGGGTACGAATGCCTGACATAATGCACCAACACCAAAAGGACAACCTGCAGTAAACTGCATCACACAGGCCGACGATTGCCTTGAGCGCTGATTGCCGCTGCGAGATCGATCTCCGCCCCAGCCAATCTGCAATCTTTGCACCTGACAGCCCGGATCTTCCTTACCGCCACTTTGGACAAGTTCAGGGCCACCCACCTGTCATCTTGTCTGTCTCTTTGCAGAAGGGTGGCTGCCCAACTATCCAGCCAACGACGCCGCTGAAGGTGACAGGTCTTTCGATAGACAGTCCACACCGTCGCCTGAGCCAGATTAACTAGTTGACAGACTTCTCTCAGTCTTGTGCCTAATATGGCCTGGACCGCAGGTTAGCGGGATGGAGAAAGGTGCCCTGGGGCAGCGTGGAGTGTATAGATCGTGCTTTAACGTCGTTCTCGTCGGATTTCAGCCTCAAAAACTTTCTTGTGACTTCACGAAAAGCTTGCCTCGCATCAGGTAGACGACGAGCAGCCGATAAAAGAAAACCGAGCAGGGTTCAATGAGAATCCTACAGCTGGGTTCGTCTCATGGAGTGCGTGAAAAAAAATGAGCGGCACGGCTTCCTCCATCCCACCCCACGTCGTTTCTTTTTCCTGGCGCCGGCTTAAGCAGGGAAGACGCATGTTTGGTCTTCAGGTCTCAGCCAAACACAGTGAATTCGCTGGGATGGAGGGCTCGTCTGCTCTCTTCGGTTCGGTTGGTTTGGACTCGAAATTGGAATAGCCATACGGCAAGACTCGTGGCTCGACTGGGTTGTGCTCCGCAGAGTTGTTCTGGAACCGCGTCGAGGTTCTGACGCACAACCACTTTGATCTGCTAAATGTGACTACCCTTTCAGAGACCGGGTATTATTGCCAACCTGTTGTCCTCTCGAGACGCAGCATGACCGGAGAAGGCCATCTTGCAGGATTCGTCGAGCCATGTGCCTCGAGAGAGGTCTCAGGTACCCGCTTCGCCACGTCCGACAGCTCTTGTCTTCCTTCAGAACCAGTGCGCCAGATCACGCCAGCCCCAGACTATCGTGAAGTGCAAGCCGCATGCCTCCTATTCCAAAGGTGGCTAGGGCCTGTTTCGTCTCCGAGTGAAAGGTTCTCAACAAAAAATAAGAAAGCGCGGATTCGGCCAATCTGGACAAACCACCTTCCACCCATCTTCCGCACTGCAGATTGCCTCTACCTGGCACTCAACGTCTCGTTTGGCAAGTCGGTTCGGCTTCGGCTGCCTCAATGCAATGATTTACACCCTTGATCCTGGTGTTCAAGACTGCCAGATGTCAGGTGGCCAGTCGTCTTCCAGCAACAATGTGGGCTGGAGTGGTGGGCTGTGAGGTGCTTTGCCTGCGAAAGCAGATGCAGCATGCCCAGTGATCTCTGCCAGCCATTGGCTTGCATCTGAACACTGATGTCGATGGGGATCAACTGCAGGTCGCAGACTTCAGGCTGGCCCTTTGCAGGAGAGACACCACAGACAGCCCGAATTTCCTGAATCTCTGTGATCCGACAGCCACCTCTCTCTCTGCTTCTTGACGCTAACCCTGTCTCAGAAGCCAGTGATCAGAAAAGCAACGAGGCGGGTGGACCATCACTCTATGACAACCACGCTTGGCTGCAGGGCAAGGGCTCCAGTCCGCAAAGCAGCGTGACTTGGATGCGTAGCATCCCATATAGAAGGGCAGATATCCCTCCTGCCCGCCCAGGTGTCCCCTATTTGTTCGGAAGATGGCACCCAGATAAACTTTTCTTCGCTTGCTTGACAAATCGTTCGTGGTTGAGCGGCTATTGGTATTCTTAGGACAAACGGACGGTGCATGGCGGTTGCTTTTTGATATCGGGATTTCCTTGTCGGTTTGGGTACTTGCAGCCTCGTCTTTGGGGGCATTTCTTGGATATCGGACCGACGCAGGCCACCAGTTGCGGACACGCGTGTCGCCAACAGCATCACCGTGGCATTCGGACGACTTAAAGAAGACACTCGGCCGAGATCATAGGCCAAGGTTGGTTGCCTCTGACTTATGATTCCGGGGAGAAACTGACGGCGTCTGCAGACATCAACATTATTAGGAACTGGTCGACATCATCCGTCATCAATTGACAAGATTGACAAGATACTGAGGAGAGAGTTCAAATACCTTCACTGCTGCGAGGGATTTGATCTGATCGAAGAACTCGCCGTGTTCATCCTCAGGACGTCCATAAGCCAACCGCGGCAGCACCCATTCATTCTCTCCCGACTCTCTCGTTGCGCACCAGGAGGAGCTTCGGCACCGAGACGTCATCCAAGAACGAGGCAGTCGAACTCCTGGCCCTGCTGGCTGTCGCCACCAAGGAGACAAGTCGAGATTTCCGGAGTCGCTCCTTTCTTTCTCTTGCCCTCGATATTGTCAGCAAACATCTCGTCGAGAAGGAATCAGCTAGTCTGGTCCTACCAAGCCATCCTTATCACTATTGCTTGCTTGTGTGAAAGTGGGAAGTCGAGAAGGATCTGAGCACATTGCCTCGAGGAAAGGAGGGCAGCCGGTGACATACTTCAAGGCAGGTAAGTCCATGCTCCTCAGGGGGTCCCGCCAACTTGGGAAAGCATCAGACCCGCGGGGACAATGCTGATGGGAAGGTGACAGGCAGGAACAGCATCTGTGAAGGAAGTCAGGCCCCGCAAGGAGCTCCCGCCCTGGTCGTCTGGGAAAGAATCACCTTCCGGTGTCTCCGCTGACATCGTCACCCCCTTCTGTGTCTTCCTCCCAACAACATCATCTCCTTCCCAGCCAAGCATCAAAATACGTTAGGTTGCCTTCCAGAAAGACCATTCTGGCAGCTTCCTCCTCTTCAAAGGGGCCTTGACTGGAAAGGAAGCAAGTATCCTTAGGTATGGAGTACAGCATCCGTCGCCCCTTTATTATCTCCTCGTCTCCCGTCGTCCCCCCTCCTCCATCTCTTCTCCCGGCCACAGCATCACCACCACTCTTGTTCCAACCATTCTCCCACAGTCTCTTTGACTCAGTTGCTCCCGATAGCTTGTTCCATCTTTTTTACTGATCACTCGCTTCTCCACAGAGTCTTTGGTAACAACATTTGCCATTGTCGGCGTCGATCGAGCTCGTCCTGGTTCCAAGGCCTTGATTCATCCCCAGACAACAAAGGTGAGTGGCGATGATGTCTGACGTTGGTCGACTTTACACTTCAAGGGCTTTCCCCGTGTCCTGGACC